ATTTTATTTGGTAAAAAAAAAAATAAAAATAAAAATAAATACATTTTCAAAAAAAAAAAAAAAATCAGAATAATTTTTTATGTTTAAATTTAACAAAAATACTGTTTTAAGAATCTCACATTCGAATTTCAAATTTTACAGTGTAAATTGCTTGCTTGTTCTAAGCAACTTTGTTATAAGTCCCGTATATGAGGGTGATATACCATTTGGTTGAGTCTTATAGATGGCCATGATGCAAGCCATTGCAAACGAAAAATAAATAACTTCACCGTTTCTTTTTAAAAGAAATAAAAATGTGTTCAACAATGTCTCTTGCAGATTTCATAAAATCTCAAAAAAAAAGAAAACATACCTAATATTTCTCACTTTACCATTTTTGACTAAAAGTCTCCAAAAGGTCTCAATTGATAGGAATGTTGAATAATGATGTATGGTCCAAACATAAATAGGAATAAAAAGTGTAAGATGCGTTTTATAAATCGTACGTATTTATCTATTCGATTGTTCTTTTAAATTAAGCAATCTTTGCGCACGTTTACAAAAGCGCTTGAACCAACACCGTTCTTTGATAATTCGTGAAGTACCACTGAAGCTTGTCGATAAACTTGCTCTAATGAGGGAATTTTTGGTTTCCCTTGTGATACTACAAAATAATTTTGAATAAATTGGTATATTGCTGTTAAGTAAAAGTTATGATTCGTGTAAAGTCTCATACCTAATATTGCACTATTTAATGCGTTTGCGACCGGTTCTCGACCAGAAGGGTCGAGTAGATGCGCTACACAGCTAACGCGTGGATCATCGTATGCCATTAATGAGAACGCATCCTAAAGGTAACAGGTAAGTAATAAGAACGCTTTGCAAATAATTATGAAATATCAACTCTAACTTATAAATCAAACCTTAAGTGAATTCCTTATCTCTTCGCGATCATCATTACGGTAATCATCTTGCAACTCGCAACCAAATTTTAATACTGCTGTCATTGCATCATCCAATCCATGTAAGCCCAAAGCAACTTTTCGACGTTTAGGCACTCTTCTCTTTTTAGGTGGAGTCAATGGACCGTCTATCTCATCTCCCGATTCACAATCACTTTGAGAGACAATAGCAGTGAACTCATCGACGTCCATCGCATCTTCGTATTCCTCATCTTCCTCCTCATCATTGTCATCTTCGTCTTCCTCAGTGCTTTCATTGACAACTTCATCGTCATCGGTATCATCTTCATCGATCATTGTATGGCTATTATCAACCTTTATGCTAGCGTCTTCATGATCTGATAATGTTATTTGGGTTCCTGCACAAGCGCCTATCATCTCAATGAATTTACGGCACCGAAGTTGGAAAAGAATGTCATCATTGGATTGTAAAACACCGGGGTACAAACTATTAGTTAATGTGATAGCATTGTCAATATTTCCCGCAAGGACAGCGTCACGAATCCCTAAAATATAAGTTGACTGGTTATTTCAATTGCCGTTTAAAGTCAAGAAAATGATCAATTCTATAGCCCCATATTGCCTACTCTGCCTATTTAACATATCAATATCCATATCCAGCGACGGATTCTCGCTTTCTACACCCTCCAATTTCATCTCCTCTCACTTCTGCACCTATCTCTCAAGCTGCTTCAGAAGCAAACCTTACGGCCAATGCACATCAACTAACCTTCATATAATGTTCGATCGCATATTTAAACTTTCTATGCCCAAAATTTACTTCAACTGACTCTCCTTGCGTTCTCATTCCAATAGATGGGTACAAGACACCCTTCAAATCCCGGAATGCAATTCCTTGAAAATATTGTAAAAAATATCAAATTTCGATTATTATTGTTATTATTTTATAGCAGATTTGACTCCAAATAACAATTACCCAAGTGTTTTCCGTTTTTTGTATAAAATGCAGTACCGTCTCTAAAATTTATGCAGCATCCGATCGTATCACCAGTTGTAAATACTGGACCGTATGGCTTGCCTGTTCCTGAGCAACAAAAAGAATGCCCATCGTCGCCATGATAACCCCACGAGTCATTTTCCCATCCTATGAGCATAAACAATAAATAATATTATTAAATGATAACTGATAGTAGGGCGAACTGCAGTATAGGTGGCATTATTATTAATCATTGATTTTTAATACGCGAACATGACCACATTAACGAGCCTGCCTATCTATACCGTAGTTCAACCTATAGTTAATAAATAAAAGCTGTGTTATTACCGGGCAATCTATTTAGAAGAACTGTTTTTGCACAAAATCCGATCCCAATATGCCTTTAAGAAATCAATAAACATTATAAATATAAGAGTATTGATTACATATATGATGCTAAAACAATATTCAGTAATATTATATTACCCATCCTTCCCTTTGCTTATAATATCAACTTCAAAATAAAATAATCCACATTGTGGAGGCATCGGATGATTTGCTCGGATCGCAGCAGCGTCTGTATCAGCTTTTCCAGAACCTTTGCGTTTGAAAATTCGCGTAAGTTAACAAATTACTTGCCAATTTTTTAGATGAAGATCAAGTGAATTTAAATTTAAATCGCCAAATAACAAGAATTCAAGTATGACTTTTGGATCATTTGTGTTCAACAAGTTATTTATATTAGGATCGAATGAGCGATCATATCTCCTAGAGCTTCTCAAAACCTAATGGTCTCAATATATTATCCGATTCGCCTTACCTATATAATTTATTCTAAGTCTATCTGAATCTACGTTCAATAGAGCACATTTATCATCGACATTCCATGCAGTTGGTAAGGCTACATAATCGAGCGAATCTTTGTCTGCTACGTTATTGTCCGCTGAAAGCTTTTCCACATGGACTTTATTGTACAGTTCCGCAAAGCTTGTATTAGCAAGATATTCTGGAAGTTTAGGTTTTGGAGGAGTTGACTTCAATTGTGTGCTTGAGGCAGACAAGTTCATTGAAAGAGCTGAAGAAGAAGCGAGTGGATGGTTGTAGTAAGTCGAATGTGTAGAAGAACCAATCGCGTGTGTGGTTGAAGCCGCGTTAACCGGATTAATGTTTGATCGTAAGTACGTTGAGCTAGCTTGACCAGCTGATAAAGTTGGATATTGCAGGACGGGGGGCGGATTGGTCATTGTTGCAGGTAGTGGAGGATACGGTGAAGCGGACGAACTAGACATTATTGCTAAGTGTGGAGCAACTGCACTATTCAAAGGAATGGCTCGGCTCCGAGAGGACACAGAATTAGAAGTAGTGGTAGTATTTGTCATTAACGGTGGTATAGCAGTAAAATTTTACGAATAACCAGTCGATGCAAGTATTCGCTATCTGTAAGTTTCTCTTGCTTATCAATTGCTTTATTATATTATTGGATCATATGTCATACTTATCACGAGCAGGTAACACTAGTGTTATAGTGAGATTTATAACCTTTCTGGGTTACACTTCTCGCCAGTTTACTCTTATAATAAGAAAAGTACTCCGTGTAAAAAAGAAAACGAAAAAACAAAAAACATCCACTATACATATTACATTATGTACGACCAAATTATTTTTTGTTCAGATAATTTTTTTATCATTAATATATACTTGCAAGTATACATATATTGTGGCTTTAAATTCTGATTCTGGCCAAAATTTCTATCTTGGAGTACAACATTATCGAAGTCTTTACTTCACGGGACGGTAAATGATTTATTGCCATCCAAATTTCACAAAAATCATCAATTAAAATTTTTCAAATTTTATTTTTAGATCTGCTATTTCAAGCAAATTTTTTAAATTTTTTACTATATTATACTATTAATCCTGTATATACAGTGTTGGGCTCGCTTATAAGTCTAGTAAAATTGAACTGGAACTGGACTTATAGGTCCAGTGGACCAGTTTATAAGTTCAGTAGTCCAGTTTATAAGTCCAGTAGAGCGAATTTTGGTCCAGAGCCCAACACTAGACTGTATATATAAATTTAAAAACAAAAAATTAATTTGATTAGGGTTAATAGCTAAAATATAGATTATAAATTATATGATAAGAGTACAAATACTATAGACTCTACTAGATTTATCTTGAGAATAAAAAATTAAAAGTAGGTTAATAAAAAGATAGAGGTCTACTTTAAAGTTCTAGGTTATTATATGAAATATATATCAAAGAGACTAGTTTATAAAATTAAAAGAATAGTTATCAATTGTAATAGAAAATCAGAATATATAGATGCAGAAGATTTAAATAAATAATTTAAGTAAATAGATTGCAAATATAACAATAGTATAGAACTTAGTATTAAAACAAAAATTAACAATAATAAATAAATATAAAAAACAGAATATCTAAACTATTATTAAGTAAAGAATATACCAATTTAGTAAAGTTGGTAAATTGTTATATCTTTAAACAGCAGAACTAAAGTTCAAATCTTACTAATAACAAAATTCAAATTTACAAACTATATTCTATTAAATTAGTATTTGTAACAGAATCATACTAGTACTAGTTTGTACTAGAAGGCTATAGAATAATAGTATAACATAAATTATACAAAACTTGAGTAAAATAGTCAAGTAAAACTAGCAGATTGTAATATAGAAGCCTGCTTGAAAAAATCTAAGTAGAGAAGTAGCATAAAATTTCAATGATATTATATAAAAGATTATTATTTAGAACTAAAAAAAAACTAAATAGGACCAAAGTATTTGGCAAAATATTTTACAAATCAAGCTACCAGAAGAGTACTAAAAAAAAAAACCTAATTGTGAGAACTAAAAGCAGGTTATAGTCTTTTCAGACCATCTAAATTAGAAGTTTGAGATAGAATATAGTTGATAGTTTGTAAAGTATATACTAGAATTTGGATAAACTTTGCAAAAATATAAAATAAATAAGGGCAGTGACATTTATTGCATAATATTATTTAACTATAGAGGTACCCCTCTCCCCCACGTAAGTTAATTCTGATTGGCTAATTTAAAAAAATATTTATAATAAATTATATAATTATAATATTATTATATATAATAGTTTAAACTTGAATAACTTTTGATCCACTAAACCAATTTGGATGATTTAACTACTAAAATGATCTTCTCAAAAAGAAAATTCAAATAAATTCAAAATCATCTAATTCTGATCATATGATCCCGAGATCGATAGAGTTTTGTATTATATTTACTATAGTAAATATAATACAAAACTCTATCGATCTCGAGATCATATGATCAGAATTGGATAATTTTGAATTTATTTGAATTTTCTTTTTGAGAGGATCATTTTGGTAGTTAAATCATCCAAATTGGTTTAGTGAATCAAAAGTTATTCAAGTTTAAAATTTTATTATATAATATATATAGTATAATAATAATTATATATTATTTATATATATAATATATATTATATATAATATATAAGTATACCGTAAGATTTTGGCTGATCTTCTCTCTCTAAAATATTATGTAATATCTGTTAGCACCCTAATAGTAGCAAAGATAAAAGGTATAAATACTTTTTTTTTTAAAATATTAAGGTAACTACTTGGAGGTCTAGCATAGTTTATTAACTTCTCAGTTCAATTATCGGGATATCGAATAGGTACTCCTTGACTTTGTTACATCAATGAGAGTACAATTGGTCACACATACAACTTTAGTCATTGTCTATTTAAGGGCTCTGCTATACTATCTATAGTTACTCACCAATTGC